GCTTTCTTGTGTAAAATTTGACACTTTTTGAAATTGATTAGGACCGCCGGGTTAACGCGTCGAATCCACCCGCCGTAATTGTAGATTTGGATTCATACCGTAAACCGGGTGATTGGAATTTCTACCGCTATTGTAGATTTGAGTATACTACTGTAGAATCTGCCGACAAATTATGTGTAATTTTAAAGGAATTTAAGGTCCTTTTAACTTGTTAATTTGTCCTTAAAAATCTTTAAATTTTTGATTATTTGTAAATTTTGACCTTATTTTATTTTACTCAACTCTATTAATTTGCTACCCAAAAAAATTTGATAGGACAACGAAAGATTTTTTTTGATATTTCATAAAAATTTGCATAAAAATTAGGAATATTTATAAAATTTTTCGTATTATTATCGTATATATATATATATATATATATATATTTTAATCTCTAAAAATTAAAGTCCAAAAATCTAAAAATTATAATATTGTTTTTGATATTTATGACTTCTTAATATATGATGTATTGATATTTATGGTTTTCTTATTGTGTTTTATGGTAATTATTTATGTATTATCAAATTTATTATATTTTTTTTAGTTTTATTGGTTTATTGTGTTAATTAATTGATGATGGTTATTAAAATAATCTAAAAATAAATAATTAAAAAACACGTGTTCACTCGATTTCTTACGATAAATGATACGATACGATACATTATTTTTAAAAAATTAAAATTGTGCGTATCTTATGATACACAATAAACGATACAATTTGATACATTATTTTTAAAAAATAATACATCTTTTAATACACAATTTGATAACTATAAATACAAATAATATACCTGATCGAGCATAGAAAAAAAAAATTCACAAGTTTTGACCGTAGAATCAAGGGAACACTCCTATTTATAACCAAACACAGGCTAGAGAATAATAGACTCATGACAAAAAGCAGGCTGACAATATGGCATTTTTTTTAAATGAAATAATCAAATTACAGCGTTTTTAAAATCATTTACTAAATTATTAAATTTTTTAAAAGTGAAATTAACAATTTTATTTTTATTAAAAACGGGAACAATAAATTCACTTTTAAATAATTTTTTTTACATCAGTAATAAACGTGGGCAAAAATAAATAAATAGTATGAAGTAGCAAATTGATATGACCTTGACAGCTACTACTGCAGTGACGTTGACAACATGCCCTGACATCACAAACACGGCTAAACGTGACATAGACTTCTTGTGTCAGAGAGCAAATTGCATACACACGGCTAAACGTGACACATGACATTATAGTTGTCAAATCATTTATGAATAATAGAATTTTTTAAAGCAGTAATAATAGCATAATATTTTATTAATTATTCAAATTTTTAACATAATTCAATGAACGGATTTCTAATTTAAACTTTGAAAAGACTAAGTGCAGAGAGATTTTTGCTGCTTCGCAGGTTCAAAAGGATAGAAGTTGCTTCAAGTCTTCGTCGATCAAACGATATGAAGATAAGTTTTAATTTTTCAGCCTTAGCCGGTGGAAAGATGTAGTTTCATTGGCTAAGACTTAAAAAAATAATATCGTTTCAATACTAAAAGCGACATAGAAGCACGTTTCATATTAGACGTATTTATGCATATTAGACGTATAAAACGATATGTATTATCTAAGACTAAAAGCTAAGACTAAAAACGAATTATCTATGCATATTAGACGTATAAAACGTTATGTATTATATCGTATCTTGTATCATATGAGACTGTGCAAAAACGACATAGAAGCACGATTCATATCTTCTTTATTTTTTGGCATATCATTACGTATTGTAAGATACTAATAATTAAACATAAGACCAACACGGAGGTTTCTTGAGTTTTTAAAAGTATCATCTTCTTGTTGTGAAACAAACCAAAAAAAATAAAAAATCTTCTTGTTATGAGACTTTGTAAACTTGGATTAGATTATAATTTCTATGATCATGTCTAATTTGGTCAAATATTTTGTTATTCAAATTTGGTCCTGTATTTTTATTACCATGCATCTATATTATATATTATAAGTCGGGCTAAATGTATTATATAGCAAATTTACTATTATAACTATATGATCTCATGTATCCGAGAATAACTCATGTAGGGATAAATCTAAAGTAGAGGCGACAAATGAGCGGATTGAATTAGTTAGGGATTAATTTAATATGGGTTAAGTCCAAAATAAGTTCAATCTATTTTCAACCCATTTAATAAACGGGTATATTGTGTTGAATTAAATCTATTAACTCATAAAATAATTAAAATATTTAATATGAACACATAATACTACACTAAATGAAACAGATGTTAATACACAATAAAAAAATACAGAGTAATATATTGAAACACACACATTAATACACCAAAAATACACACAAAAAATGAGTCCTATTGTCCAACCAATTTAGAACTTGCATTAATTAATATAAGTATTCAACTGGTTAATTTATAAAATGAATTGGACGAATTAATAATAATGAGTTAAGATTACCGTCTCTGCTTCATCAAGAACACGTCTCTCACTCTCATTGCCACACCTATTGCTCTTCGCAAATACCAATAGTGGAGTTCGTTCTTCTTCATTTGGACACACCATAAGAAAACATATTCGAGGGATCATGATATCATCCATCTTCTTGCTGCACAAAAGTTTATATTTTTCCCAAAAATGTGTCTAATATATCCATTTCATTAAAAAAAACAAATGGGAGTAATTTTAGCTTATAGACCAAAAAACCCAATGAATGAAAAATTAACTTAAAAATGCCAATGGGAGTAATTTTAGCTTATAGACCAAAAATCCCAATGTATGAAAAATTAACTTAAAAATGCCATTTTTTTTTTGGGTTAACAAGTAACCTCTCCAAGACAATGTAGGATTACTTTGGATTCATTCTTGGGAGAGTAAATCTCAAATACTTGCGAGAGCAAAGATGAAATGGATCAAGATTCCCTTTAATTAATGAATAAAAGATCCACTTGTATGGAATGAATTTCACCAAAATGTATGGTAGGTGACCAGTCAATAAGAGATTAGATAAAAAAAAAGTATTGGAAGGGATCTTACCCGATTGAGACATATTGTTTAATTAAGATACATCGTTATCATTAATTAAAGATAATATGGGATATAATGAGAGAATGTAAACCTATAATTGGATGGACGGCATGGCATGGCTTTTGACTAGAGAAGTCTGCCACTTAGGTAATGTTTGGTAACCATGTGTCTTTTTTTTTTTCAATTTTTGCTAAAAAAAAAAAAACAATAACATGTTTGGAGAATATTTTTTTTTGTGTTGGTCTGCTTTGTAAACAACCCCAAATTTTAAAACATCAAAATGTGTTTTTAAAAACACAAGAAAACGAAAACACGAGTCTCTCTTGATACCATTTAATGAGGTCTACCCTTCAAACTCCATTAGCGGCAAAAAAAAAAAAGAAGTTTTTTTCATTCCCACTATAAAAAGGGTTGTTTATCCATTTTTGCCTCTTCTCTCTCACTCTCCTCTTCATATCTCAGACTCTCGTTCATCTCCATAAACAAAGGAACTCTCAGATTTCAGATCTCAAATCTCCAACGACAAAAAGAGCTCTCAGATCTCCAGCGACAAAAGAGTAACGAAGGAGCTCTCATATCTCAAGTAAAACATAGTATATACATAGATTTGTAAGTTTGGGTTGGGGTGGGTTGTGGGTTTCGATGGTAACGTTTGGATTGGGAGTGTGTTTAGGTGGTTGTGGTTTTCGGTGGTGCTCTGGGTGGGTTTTAGTGGTTGGATTGGGGTTGGGTTTGGATGGTTGTGGTGGTGGATTTTGGTGGTTATGGTGATGGGTTTCGGTGGTAAAGTTTCGGTGGCGATGGGGGTGGGGGTGGGTTTTGGTGGTTTCTGGTGGTGGTTTTCAGTTGTAGGGATGGGTTGTGGGTTTCGACGGTGGAGTTGGGTGGTCAGTAAGGTGGTTGTGGTAATGATTTTCAGTGGTGGGTGTGGGTTGTGAGTTTCGGTGAGGTTGGGGGGTGGGTTTCGGTGGTGGGATGGGGTGGTCAATGGGGTTGGGTGGTGATTTTGGGTAGTTAGTGTCTTTTGTCGATGGGGTTTGAGTGATGAATATTTGGTATAATACCAAATTATTTTTAATTTTTATTTTCACAATTTTTTAAATGTAAATAATTATTAAATATGTTCTATATTTTTAATTTTTATCACAAAAAAATAAAACTTAATTCTGTTTTTTTTATAAAAAAAAATATAAAAATAAAAACGTTATTAAACGCACAGTTAATGTTGCCGATGGAAGATTAACTAATTCTACAAGGTTGTCTAGTACGGAATTAAGTAGCAGTGTAGTGAACAACATATATTCTCCCAAACGGAAGATCGGCCACCTGGTTTTAGGTTCTACCCAACAGAAGAAGAGTTAGTTTCATTCTATCTGCAGAATAAGCTTGAAGGAAGGAGACAAGACCTCGACCTGGATGTAGCAGTGGTTGATATTTATAAGTACAATCCATGGGATCTCCCACGTCAGTAAAATTCTCATCTCTCATGTCCTTTCTTCTTCTTGGTTATCTGTAAAAAAATGGTCAAATTTTTACAATTCAAGTTGTTTCTTTATAATGTCTAACCACAGTTGTTGTCTTGGTTGAAGTTTTAGCGATTTAGTCATTCTTAATATGCATTTCTATGGAGATGTTAAGGACAATCTCTTCCAAACTATTGTCTTTTACAACCCTGTTTTGCCTGCAGCAGATTATACCATCTTTACTTTTGTTTAATTTTATTCACATTTATTTCCTTTGCTTTTCTCAAGCAAGAGCGTAGAAGACATTTTGTTTCTCACTTCGATTGTAATTTTCTTTTTTTAATTCTCGATATAAAACAAAAGAATAACCTACTCAACCAATTGCTGTCCGAAGACATAGCACTGCAGTCTACCAGCCAAGCAATATCATTTACATTCCGACAAAAGAAAAACAAGATCATGAAAGCTAACTCCCCTACATTTGTTTTGGTGCCAGAATTTGCAGGAGAGTTATGTCAAGGAGACACGGAGCAGTGGTTTTTTTTCGTTCCTCCGCAAGAGAGAGAAGCCCATGGAGGAAAACCTAATCGGCTCACGACTACCGGATATTGGAAAGTTGCTGGATCTCCGGGTTATGTTTACTCCTATAACCGAATAATTGGAGTGAAGAGAATCATGGTTTTCTACACAGGAAGAGCTCCCGGAGGAAGAAAGACTGAGTGGAAGATGAATGAGTACAAAGCCATTGCAGGAGAAGCTTCTTCGTCAGCAAGTGCAACTCCAATGGTTTGCCTTAATTGGATACAATTAAATTTATATGTGGGCTTGAATTTTCTGTAAACTAGGCCATCTATATATAGGACACGTTTTAGTGTTTCTTAAAAAAAAAAAAAGTTTAAACCCTAACCCCACATGTGGGTTGGACTAAGGAACTAAACCCCCGAAATAATATCTACTCGAATGACAACTTCTTCATCATCTCCTCCTCCTCATCGTCTCTGGATGGTTCAAACTCCTAATTTCCTCTTAAACAAAATTTGGGCTACATTCAAGCTTTTTAGTGTTGTTGCCCATCATAATACTAAATGATATTATCTCTAAGGTCCCTATTTTTGTGTGACAACATTGTTTTTGGGATATAACTTAACTCGAGCTAAGCTTAAATTCCCACCAATTCTGCACGTACAGTTGAAGACCAAGAAACTTATGTCCCATATCAAGATGCCCTTAAGAAGATTCACATTTTAGTTTGAAGATCTTGCTCCTCTCTTTTTCTTGGTGCTGATGAATTATTCTTATCCCTGCTCCTTCTATATATAAGTGGGAAAGATACAGAAATCATAAATGATGATTCAATTATTAAAAATTCATGATTCATCTATTAGTTCATTTCATAAGTTAAAATTCATATTTATCATCATGCTTTACTTGTATATATGCATTGCACCAATGTTATGCATGATTGCATGTATTTTATAATGTGTAATGTTATTAATATATAAAAAAATTGACCTAATTATAGTGGCAGAGTCTAATAATATTCTTATGACTATAGTTGATGGACTTTCGTATTGGGGTTTTATTGCTTGATACATCATTATATTATTAAATTAAGTCAAATTTTTAGGTCCCAATAGAATTACTCTTTTGTAATTAGTTAATCACTATTACATAATTTGAGATAATGGTTAGAATGATCGTTTTCAAAATTTCTTATCCTGCAGTTAAGACAAGAGTTCAGTTTGTGTCGAGTCTACTTAAAATCGATAATCTTACGAATATTTGACAAACGACGCTCAAAAGTTACGGCAGACAAAGCAATAGTTCACCAATCTCATCAACTTAACAAGGCAAGTACATCTCACCAAAACCCTCTAATGATGGTGATCAGAACGAGTTCTCCAGAAAATAAATCCACAGGAGATGATGTCAATCCTTCTCAAGTTGTGGAAAATGATATAATGAACTTGGATGTGCCTCTTGATAATGATTTTTTGTGGGATTGGGAGTTTTGAATTGGTTTTAAGGGAATATGGAACTATTTGAGAGGATCTGAAGCTCAACTCAGCAATCATCAATGGTGAAACTACATTTTAGCAAGAATACTTTGCATATTTCATTGATTAACAGAGACCTCGTACAACTTACTAATTGGATGTTGAATTTATTTTGATTTCATTTTGGTTCTTGTAATTGACTTATATAATTATTTTGGGACCAACGTGTCTTGGTTCAATGGTACTTTTTATTTTGTCAATGTTTTATTTTCTTGAAATCAAGAGTTCAAGTACCACAAAAAAAAATGGAATATATATATATATATATATATATATATATATATATATATATATGAAGGCATATCCATGCAATAAAATTAAATATTAGGGGGTGTGAGTGATATTTTTCCAATAATTTATTGTGTGAAATGAACACTTTTTCAAAGTGTGTGGACTGTCGACAAATTGTATTTATTTGAGTGGAAACTAAGGTCCTTTCAACGGCACTTAACATGTGTTGACACTGTACTGGCCTTGACGTACAAGATGATAGTTAAAGGTGACAGCCGTTATAAAAATTGGGAAAGACAATGACTTATGTTCCGTTTCCTACGAAAGAGGGAAAGAAAAAAAAATGGAGAAAAAGTGAAATGAATAAAATTTTTATTCATGAAAGAAAAAAAATTATATGTATATTTTTTGTTTGGTAAAAAAGATGAAAAATATACGGAATATATTTTCTATTGTTTAGTATTGAAAGAAAATTATGAGAAAGAAAAATCATGCATACCCAATTTTATAAGTCTACCTTTTAAATATATGAAAATAGTTTTAATATTACAAATCAATTCAATTAATTTAGTCCAATTTTTAATCTCCTTATTTTTGTTTATCGATTCCTCCAATGACTTTTCAGTAAATAATATGGAAATTTTGGTATTCATTTCTTATGTGTACTACTGTGTGCATGTCAACAAATTAATATTCCAATCAAGGGTGGTTCAATACAAACATTTTTTAACATGCATGTCCAAGTTATTTTTCAAATAACAAATTTTAACAAAGGGAAAAAAAAAAAGTAAAATAATTATTCAAAAGTCAAATTGTTATGCATTTTTCTCATTTTTTGCCCATTTTTGGAGGAAAAGTAAATTGTGGGCAAGAGAAGAAAATCCCCTCTCAAATTTTTCTTTCCGTCATTTCTTTCTTTGATACCAAACAATGGAAAGTTTTTCTATTCACCCGAATTTACTTTCCCCATTTTTCATCCACCCCATTTTTCCTCTAACCAAATAGAGCCTTATTGAGACTAAGTTATAACGTTTTTCATGTATAAGTTATAATTTTTAAAAGCATGACCAATCATAAAAAATTGAGATCGATATTAAAAATTCATAACTTATCATGAGTGTTTGTGACCGATCATGTCTTTCTCTTGAGCAATTATAACTTTTCATTGTAAAATTATAATTTTATCATAAAAAATAATAATTGATAGTACACAACCAATATTATTTTTTGTATAATAAATTTCTCCCTTAAAAATTGTATCATGAACACATATAAACATCACATAGACTTGTTACGTCAAAGTAAATTGATGGTGAATGCCACTAAGGACCAAAACGGAGCTTTCTTGAGTTTTTAATACTTAATTCAAGTTTCTATAATAACATATAGTAGGTTTATTTGGTTGACGTTTTACAAGTGGATTAAATATTGAATTGGACTATAGTTTATTTAATAGAATCTAATATTTTGTTTATCAATTAAATTTAATACCGTATTATTATTGGATTATTTCAAATATATATACAAATTATTTATTTTTTATACCATACATCCATATTATAGACCTATTTAATACAATTAAGAGAGTTGATATCATACATCAGGCCAAATATTTCATATAACAAATTTACTATTATAAACCCATATCTAGCAAAACCCAATTTGTAAATGATCCAAGATATACTTTATCTGCAACATGTCTGTCACTCCCACGGTCTTTCCCATCGCTCTTTGCAAATAACAACAGTGGAGTTTGAGAGTAAATCTTCGATACCTGCAATTACTCACACATCCCAGATAATAGTTAAGTTCGCAAAACACTAGTGAGGGTCGAATTTTTGACATTCAAGTCTACAATTCTTCTGGGTCCAACCCCCATTGTTGGGCTACCCATTCGGGTTTAAAGAATGTTAATTTCACTCCAACATAATTCAAAAAGTATTTGATGCTTATGTACTTTCACCTTTGCCAATTTAGTACTAACAAAGTATTGGTACACACAAGAAGGAATTGTGTTAAAATTCAAGGAGTATTTTAATTGGAAAATATTATTTGGACCTAAAATTTGATATAATTTGTTAACCTAATGACGTGGTATTATTGAAATCATTGGATAAACACCAAGTTTTAATGTTTGATGGAGCCCATAATTAATCCAAAGATCACAATGAATTAGGTCAGCAAATTAGGACAATAAATTAGGCCCCAATAGCATTGCTCATTATTATCAATTCAACATTAATGTGGTGAAATAATGACCTAACCAAACAACAAATTAGACTATTCTACTCTTATTTCCGTGCTATTTTTTTTTTAAATCTCATTGCTATGTTAATTAATTGATTGATAGCAATGCTATTTAAATATAATTTTTTAATTTAATTTATTGACCAAGTCATTTATAACTATTAAATTGACATTAAATCACAATATTTGTTAGGACATCCAGCCTATGTCAATAAATTCAAATAATATTATCTATACTTTTCATGAAAATATTAATTTTTAGAATTTTTTTAGTATGATTTCGTTAAAATCTCCAATTACAGATACACGAGTTATGTGTAATTAGATGTGGCAAAAAAAAAACTTGCAAAAAATCTCTTCTAGCCCTAATAAATACAAAAAATTATTTATTAGTGAGGCGGTAATTTGATTTATTTAACTTGTAATTCAATATTTCAGTAGAGTCTTTTAGAATTTGATTTAAATTCGATTAGATTGGGTGTCAACTGTCAAGTTGATCAGATCTAACTTGACATAAAATCTAATCCCCTCCCAATTTAACAATTTTGGTTAATTTGTTATATATATAACATGTATTTTTAGTTGAGCGACTTCACATTGCCATGGGCAATTAACTAATTTCCACCCATTTAACAAAGAAAATGATCTTTCCTCTTATTCTCTTTCATACCTTTTCACTTTGTTTTTCCTTTTTTTTTTTTCCCTCTCCCAACTTATTAAACACGCCAAACTATGTCACTAATATGTCCCTTTTTAGTGATGCTTTCCAACTTTTCTCTCTCTTCCATTCTCTCTTGAGTCTTTTTTCTGCCTACCTTTTCCTCTCTCACAGGCCACCCAATCTATTTTCTTCCCAGGAGACCTAAGTAAATTGGTTACTTACTCCTGAAGGTTGCGCCTCCCCTTTTTTCTTTATCTTCTTCCCTGTCTAATTTTTTTGGATGAATTCGGTTGATTTATGATTGGTTCTACTCTATCTTTGAAGTTGTTGTGATTACGATAGTGGGTTTGCATGAGGAAGGTGTCGGTGGAATTTTGATGGTTTAAAAATTACACTAACACAAGTAGCTGGTCAAAGATTGCTAGATTCGGTGTTATTTTAAATGAATTGTTTCATCTGTATTTTGGTCTTGATTATAGTAACATGGAACAGTCGGAAAACTACAAAGTCTCTTACCACCGTCCTTTCCCTCCTTTCCTAGGTTGTCATTTGTTTTATCTTTTATTGAACACAATACAAATTCGCATCATGGAGTGAGCATTAATATTTACAAAATGTGGTGATTTGGAAGAAAATGGTCAATGATTATTACAAAATAATTCACGTGCAATGCACGTGTGCATCTACAAATAAGGTAATATATATGCACTAGGAATAACTCGTGTCTGAAGGCACGGTGCAATTAAGACAAATCGAACATTGAATTTAAACGCGAAATAATCAAACACTAAACTCGAACACCTACTAAACTGAAAGCCTAAACTTGTCCTATATTACGTGTCTGAAGACATTGTACATAATTTTTAAATACAAAATAATCAAACAATGAATATAAATATGCATTAAGTTGAAAATCGTTTGGTCATTTTTAATGTCATTACTTTATGAAATAAAAAGGGCAAGTTAGGATTTCCCACAATCCTTTGAAAATATGATGCCACAAATCACTATCTCAATGAATAAACAAAAATCAAGCAAGAGGTATTGAATTACATTTTGGGTCACTAAAAAATTTACTTATTTCAAAAACCAAGTAATGAGAGAAATTGAAGTCAATGTAAGAAACTTTCAATTGTTAAGCAAAGTATCATCTGAAAATATGATGTAATTCAATATATGAAAATATGCTAGGCCTAATGAACTTGAAAATTTTGGACAGGATTTGCTTTAAGAGTGGACCCCAAGAATTATACAACAGAGGCCCATAATAAATTAGAGACCACAAAATTAAACCTTAAACAAATAGCATATGAAAATAATGTTAATTAGCCTCTTTAAGCCCGACCTGCTATCATTTCGTTCAGACCTACAAACCCATATATTTCTTGTGCTTGGAGACCTCGACCATCTTGGAAGTGTAGAGCTAAGTACTAGGTAGACAGTGAGCTATTGGATGGTAGCTTAAGGTGAACTATAGTGCATAAAGGAATTTTTTTCCCTTTCTGTTACCAGTTAAAAACCTTTCAGAAAAGACAAAAGAAAAGACAGAGAGAGAGCTAGAGGTTTAGCTCTAAATTTTGTTTGCCTTTTAGAGTCCTTGAGGGTTTTTTGCCATGGATTTTTATAAAGAGAGAAACTGATACATTATGAGAGAAAGCGAGAAAGGGATAGGACATAGGGGTCAATAACTTGAGATAAACAATTTTTCTACATAACAATGCAGGGTCACTGGGTTACTTGTATTCCCGTAAGTTACTAACTATTCACTCTCTTTTTTCTATTCTCTTAATGCATTGAGCATGTATTCAAACTAAAATAC